AACTAGTGTGTTTGGGGGGGCTTCTCCCTCCTCGTTTGAGACTGTTCTGATGTGTGCAAATGAGTGTGGTAAAGAGCGAGCAGCTGTAAAACCGAGCTGTTACCCACCCGAGCTGGAGGGAGAAGCTGTTCTGAAAACGGGAGCAAGGCGAAGGCACGTGCCACGAGAAATGCACAGACTCCATAACAGAGCCACTTATACTGACCTGATTATGCTGCAGTTTTAATAAACCTCCTAGGTAGGCGATGCTGTTGGCTGCTCTAAGGTCAGTAAATATTTCTGAGTTTTGTTTCAGGCAAATAGGTATTTACAAACTAAACGTATCTGAGGACGGAAAAGATCTATGTTAGTAATACATGCTGAGCATATTAGACCAACTGAGTCTGCCTCATCTTTGTGATAGGTGTCTGCTGGGTGAGAAGGACCTTCCTAGCAATTCTTCTTTCTCTGAGCCTCAGGGCTTGAGAGGTTCTGAAAAGTGCTTACATTGGTTGTGCAGAGTGACAAGGGACTTAATTGTCCTACTCTTAACTGAACTTGTTGCCAAGCCCATATCCCAAACGTAAGGGAAGGGAGAAGTCATTACTGCAGATAATTAAGGAAGCGATGATGGAAATATCACAATTATTTTTGAATTACAGTCTAGTGTAATGTTGCTGTTGACAAAGGCATCGTAATCTCTTCTGCAAATAACTTTTATCAGGGATTTATAACTAGAGAAATTTGACCAGGCCTGGAACTTGGCATCATCTCATTTAACCAAGTATTAAATTGTTGTCATATAGACTTTAAAGACTTGTATGTGTGGTGGGTGTTGATTTCCATGATAAGTACAGCTATTTGCTCTTCAAACAAGGGACGTTAAATCTGCTTTGGGGGTTTGCCTAAACACAGGAAGATTACAAGGACTTAAAGCAAAAGCTGTCTGTATAGAAGATACTGAGAAGAAAGTCAAAGACCCTTGAAAATAAGATTAGCCAGCAACCCTGGATTTCTGGTCGTGTGCCTGTACAAAGGAACCGCAATGCGTTTCCTGGGCAAAGCTTGCCTTTTCAGTAAAGAACATTAAATGGCCCAAGAAGGCATTTGCCATGGGCAGCACATTAACACTGTCCACTCCTCCTGCTCTGAATGACCCAGCCAATCATCTTGGCTATTTACCAGCTAGATTTAGCAACTACAGCACCAGTCACAAAGAATATACTTTAACGTATTCATACTGGTCTTTCCATGTTGGTTTAATAGAATGTTTGTGTGAGCTGACCTTTCTGTTGCGGAGGTGTTAGAGAGTGGCAGTGACAAAGATAGAACACCTTTCATGTAATCCTTATTATATAGTTTTCAGAGAAATCATTGAGGAGGGATTCAAGCAGGAAAGCTATCACAAAAGAATCATAGAATCATAGAATCACTAGGTTGGAAAAGACCTTAGAGATCATCCAGTCCAACCGTATCTGTCTACCACTAAACCATATCTTTCAGCACCTCATCCACCCGTCTCTTAAACACATCCAGGGACGGTGACTCCACCACCTCCCTGGGCAGCCTGTTCCAGTGTGTGATAAAGAAGTTTCTAGCTGTTTCTTAACAAGATTCACCTATCAGACAGGATGTAAATGTGTTATTCTTAAGATCAAACAAGAGGTGTATATTTCTGAAATGGGCTCAGTAAGGCAATAACGATATGGTAAAGCTGACTCTCCTGATTTCTGGTGTACAGAAAAGATAATTAGCATTTATTTGATACCTATCTATAAACATTCTCGTGCATTTCTATACCTCCACTTCTTTATGCAATCAACTTTACTGGTCATCAGCTTGGCTCTGTCCAGTATTGCAGAGTTTGTTACTCTTTGCTGTCCCTATATAATGGCTTTAAAGCTTACTTGGTGAATATTCGGATTTCTGGTATTTTGTAGTTGCTCTGTTATCCTTATAATAAAGCCTGTGTTTAATAACAATTAAATGTTGAAGTAGCTTGCTGGCAGATGGGATGGATTTTCTCTCTTCTGAAGTTTTTAAAAGTATCTTTCAAAAATACATTAATTTTGTGATCTGTGTTACAGAGAAGACTGAACTAGAGTATCATAGTGGTTCTTCTTGACTTTGTGGTTTATCTGTATTTCCATTGTTTAGGGTTTTTTAAAACTGTTTTGTTTTTCTCTGTGTAGTGTTTTCTTTATCCTTCTAATTCCTACCTAAAATTACATTTAATACGTAATCTTTAAGTCACACCTACTTCCTTAACTAGCCAAGTACTAAATAGAAGCAGTAAGATTACATGGCACAAATGACTCAGGCCTCAAGAGTCAGGAGACGCCTTTCTAAAATCAGCATTGGCATAGTTAAATACACTGTAGGCCATAATCTTCCATACTTTGTGGTATGTGAGTGTCCTTACACTCACTGGTAGAAAAAGCAAAGATACTAACTGGGTTACTCTTGCGTTCTTGGCATTGTTTAACTAAAACACATGCATTGCTAAGAAGAACCCATACACCAACTTCTGGTCTCAAATATAAAACTGAATTGAGTATTGATTTTTATTTTAGCTCATTTAGTAGTTTGATTTCCCCCCCCTCCCCCCATCCTGCAGTGAGGTAACTGGTTTTGGTGCTTTGTATGAAAATTGAATTGCTGAATTGCTGTGCTGTTGGATTTGGTTTGCTACTCATTGGCATTAACAACCATTTAAGGAATTTTCATAGGAGTTTTTATTATGTGCTTATGTGTAGCTTTAAATAACCTTTATAATACACTCCGTTGAACAGTAACATACATTTTTAAAATGTCATAAACAATAGGATACATTTTTAAAATGTCATGAATGTAGAGAAAACTTAAGCATCACGGGTGTGCAATGGTCACTGTTTATAAACTCAGCAAGATTAATATTTGCTGTGCAAAATCCTCTTAATTTCTGTTCTGTGGATAATGTACAGTAATCTGTTAAGGGTTTATTTATTTGAGTAAAGCAGTTTGTTGAATGACTAGTAATTCTCGAGTAAAAATTATGTATTGCTGGAATACAATAATGATTTGTTTTGCTTTTAAAGGAAAAAACACTTGCCTGTAATTTCTGATAAAAAGCAGGGTGAAAAATGGAGTTGGAAAGATGAGGTTATTGGGCAGTTGTTATCTAGTAGTGACCTCTGTCGTTGATGGTTTGCAGGAAAAGACAGAGTGAAAGGGCAGATAAATAGTTTGAAAATTGGTTAGCTGAGTTTTCCGAAGAATCCATTTGATGTGCAGCTGGTGCTTGGTAAGGAACACCAGGAATCAGTTCTGGGGTTAATAGTATTAAGTATTTCCCTTAGCATCCAGGATGATGAAACACCATGCTTCCTTGAGAAATCTGGAGGTGATGCACAAGTGTGGGGAAGAGGTTGAGCCGCTGGACTGTTGAGCTACAGTTCGGCGGGATCTTCACATGCCTGAGGGTTGGGCTAACAAGGGCCGTAAAGTTCAGCCACAATGGCTTTGCCATTTATTGACTCCTCTGGAATTCAGGGACTAACGTTTGGTATAATTTTAAAATAAATAATGCAGCTTTTCATGCTAATTTAAGACACTAGTTCAGCTCACTCTAAGTCTGTTGCTACCACTGCATATAGGAAAGTTGGATGACACGTGGAGCACTGAATTGCTAAGTGTATACAATAGCCACGCTTGAAATGCATACCTCAGGTATGGGCTCTCTCACTGTTCCTGGGCTGCCTGGCAGTTAGAGGCGAGGTATATTTGTGTGGCTATACAAGGGTGTAGGATCTCTAAATTGGTATTGTATAGAGCAAGATAGTCTTTCATTGGACAATAGGCTGTTTCATTATATCAGTGCTTTCTAAGGGTTTGCTCTCTTCAGAGCGCTTCAAAAAGCTAAATTCTACTTTGCCATTAGAGTAGGTTCATCTATTATGTGGCCTCAGTAATGTTATCTGGAGGTAAGTCTTAAAGAAAATGTAAAATGTGAAAATGGAGGGATGGTGTGGTGTTGTAGGTGTCAGACCGATATCCATCACTGTGAGAGGTTTGATATCTTTATCTTCATTTTATTCCAATTGATGAGCGAGCTTGGTGTTTGAAAAGCCCTAAATGACAGATGCTTATGTGATGGAATAGCTATTGTCAAAGTGTGGAGGCAAACGGCACCCTATTGTTGCAGTCAGTTAAAAATGATTTGTTGAAAATTGACTTTGAATGTTTGCGCTGGAGGTCAGAGTTCCCTTTAGAGGGCTCATACTTCCTTAGAAATACCTAGAATTGCCACAGATATGCCTTACTATTAAAAAATGATTTTGATATACATACCTGGCAGGGCTTTTGATTCATTAAAATGGGAAAAATAAGTGGAGCAAAACAGCTGGGACAATTTCTGAGTAAATTCATCAGTCATTCTGGAACTATGCATTTAAAATACCTATAAATAATAGAATGCTCCATCTAAATGGAAGCCTTTTATTGATGTGTAAGTACAGTGTCACCCTGAAATTTCTTTTTTTAACTCATCATTTCCTTGTGTTTTGGATCAGATCAGGCAAGTTACATGATTTCTACTTTTTCAACTATTTATTTAACAGTATTATTTTGTATAGTGTGTGAAATGAAATTGATACACACAGTTGTTAAGCTTTAGAATTACTTTTAGGTAATAAATAACTGTTTTGGAAACTCTGTGCCTTCACTCATTTTTTTTAATATTATCCTGGGGCCTGACAAAATAATAGGATAACTTTTGTGTTTTGCCATTGGCACTTGTGAATCCCCTGTATTTATATTCCTTTAAATACCTTCTTTCCCCTCTGACGATGTTCATGGTACTGCTGATCCTACAAAAGAAGACAAAGGATGGAAATGGGGAGTGAAATACTGAGAACCCAGTTTTTGCTTTTTATTATATAAGTTTAGTTCTCTCGGGTTTAAAAAGAATAACTAAATTGTTTATGTAGACATAAGGAAACATACAGTTGGGTTTTTTAAATTTTGTTTTAATAGATAAAAAGATGGCCTATCACAAAGTGAATGCAGACCAGAGAGCACAGGGGCACTCGCCGTACCTTGACAACGATGAGCTCCAAGCCACAGCACTGGAACTGGAATGGGACATGGAAAAAGAGCTGGAGGAGCCTGGCTTTGACCATTTCCGACTGGATGGTGTGGTCCAGCATCACCTGGGAAACTCGCAGAGCCCTGACCTTGATCTCGAGCCCATTCAGCCGTCGTCTTCTCCAAAGGGAAGATTCCAGCGGCTTCAGGAAGACCCTGACTACATCTCACACTACACAAGACAGGCACCAAAGAGCAACCGCTGCAGTTTTTGTCAGATACTGAAAGTATTTTGCATTGCTTTGATTTTATTTATATTTGGATTTGTGATAGGATATTATACCCGCAAGAAATGCCCTTCTCCCCCAACGTCTCAAGAACCAAGTACCCATCATATCTACCATGAAATTCTCAAGGAAATCAAAGCTGAAAATATTAAACAGATTTACAGGTACGTACTGTTGCATGGTCTGGTCTGTGTGCAATCAGGTGCCCGTGTTAAGATTTCTTGTGTATTGTTTTACATGGAATCTTATTTACAAACCTGGACTCTTTCTTTGTTTCGGTTTTCTCGTGATGCTTGGGGAAGCTTTCATAAATGTATCTGAAACTAGAGTAATTTTTAACATTGTGGATTTGTGTTGGTCGTTATATTTTTTTGCTTTAATAACATACTATTAATATATTAATATTAGCTTTAATGTTCCTGAGTTGAGAAACCTAGATAATTCAAAGTGAATCAAAGTACAGACTGTAGACCAGCTCTCCTTGATTCAGTCAACTGTCAGATAACATTGTTGAAAAGCAAGATTTTTAGGTGGTGTTTTGTACTATTTGGTGCACTGAGAAATCCCCATCTGATCTTTTGCAAGTAAGTGAACTCTGCCTGTTGTTTTTCAGTTGATACGGTTAAATAAACCCTTAGTCTGCACATGTTTAGGAGGGAAGAATTAAACTATGAAAGACTGTGGTGGTTTTTTTTTTTTTTTTTAGTACCTGTTTTATGAATATAAAATGTTGTAAGCTATCC